TGTCCCAAGTAATTTTATGTAGTTCATCAGAAATTATAATTCTGTTATTTTAGCTACATCTGTCAAAACTGAAAATGAATCTAACAGCTTATTGCTATAGGAGCATAGATTTTTCCATATATTAACTTAACTGCATTCCCCAACAGCTATAATGTATAAGACCATAATAGGCAATATTATAGTGCATAGGGAAATATAAGTTCCTGCCTTCCTCAATGGTATTTTACCACTTACTCTATTTTTCATTCTTGTCATATTAGTGTCTCTTTATTTTCATTCAAGATTATTTTTTTTACCATCATTTAATGAATGCCTACTGTTACATATTGTAAGCATCACATAATAGTATGTGATTTATTATATGACATCATTACACAATGTAAACATTATCAGATATGAATTTATGAGTGCTTGATCACATTTTGGTGTGATTTGTTCTCCATGTTCAGAGGATTTTTCTTCTATGTGCCGTATCACTTCAGGATGTTGGTGAACATGGCTCTCTACAATTTCCTGTTCTTTTTAGCTCTTAAGAACTTTTGTCTTTTTACCATCACTCCCAAACCCTGCTCTGCCATCCATTCACTCAAGTTCACCAGTTAGGTTGTGTATTGCTTTCCTCTGACCATCTTACCTTCAGTCTATCCTGTGAGTATCAAATTTTCCAATCCCTCTTTCCTCATTATTTTCCCCAGAAATTTCATGTCTCTTCCTGATGTTAAGCAGAGGTGTCCCTTCTGTTGCCATTGTCTCTAGAACTTCCTCGTTGTCCACATGTTCAGTTCATGGTATTTGTATCATCCTTCTGTAGAACCATATTATTTTAATTAGCGATCACCTTAGATATCCCAAAGGCATTTAACAAGATGGGTCATTGGGAGCTGCTACACAAACTCTCCAGCTATGACATCTCTGGAAGCATTTTCTCAATTATCAAGTTTATATCTGGTAGATCAATGAAGGTCGATATTTATGACCAGTCATCTGAACTCCTGGGATCAATGTAGGCATCATTCAAGGCTCTCTCATCGGCTCTACCCTATTTGTGATTTATAGAATTAATTAGAATGATGACAATATATGACTTCAGAATTTTGTTTGCATGTCCTTACCATCTTCTTCTCTGTGCCATGCCCCTTCCTTACATTGGCGTTCATGGCACTCCACAATCTTCTGACCTTTTTGCCATCATTCCCAAACGCTGCTCCACCATCCATTTGCTCAAGCTCACTAGGTAGGTTTTGCATTGATTTCCTCTAGCCTGCTTACCTTCAATCTTTCCTGTGAGTATCAAATTTACCAAGCCCTCTTTCCTCATTATTTTCACCAGAAATTCCATCTGTCTCTTCCTGATGTTAAACAGAGGTGTCCCTTCTGTTACCTTTGTCTCAAGAACTTCGTCAATGCTTAGATGATTGGTCCATGGTATTCTTAGCATCTTTCTGTAGAAGCACATTTTCATTGTTTTAAGTCTCTTCTTTATCTGTGAGGAGATTGTCTAGCATTCACAGCTATATAGAAGGACTGATACTACATAACGGCTCAGTACTCTTTTCTTTGTTTCTAATGATATTATTTTTTGTTTCTTAATACTTTGCTCAGCTTTTGAAAGGCATCTTTTGCTATCCCAATTTTTGTGTCACATCCTCTGTTAAAACACTTCCCCAATATCTAAATTGTTGCACCTGTTTGATGTCAGTATCTCTAGTCTGTATTTTTCATGTTGGGCACTTACTTTTTGCTAACAACCATGCATTCAGTTTTCTTGCAATCGAGGTTTAGTCTTTTCTTCTTGCTTTCCTTCACTACCTTTTGTAGGAGTTCTTGTAGTTCCCTTTCTGTGTCAGCTATCAACACAGTGTCATCTGCATATTTTATGTTGTTATGATTGTGCCTGCCAATAACGAATCTTTTTCTTTGTTATTGCCAAGCAATGAATATCCGAATCATATTCATATATAAATTAATTTAAAATTGGCTGAAAGGCACTTTTATTTTGATTTCAAATTAACATTACTTCCCCGAATTGAGTATATACTAGTTTAAATTAGTATCAAAACATTTGGACCAAAAATTTTTCAACCCTAACCACAACTTCCTTACCACTTAACCACATCTAACAGTCTAAGTGCCAAAATTAAATTAAAATAGCAATTTAAATAGCAATTACTTTTAATGACAATTACATTCAAATTCATGTTCATGCATCAATGGTTTTTTTTTCTTGTTTTTAATCATTTCACTCCAAGCAAGGCAATAATGCCACTAGGATGCAAGGGGTTACAGGGAGTGAAAGGGAATGAGAAGAATTTAGTGAGGAGAAAGAACAATATGATGACAGAGTTTACCAAATACATTATACATATATATACAAGACTTAGGCAAAATAATGTGAACAGCTTGCAAAAATAGCAATTTTTTAAATTCCAACATTTCTAGGTATTTATAAACATCAAACAACATTCTCAATGACAATTTCCTTACAATGGCCACCATACTGTTGCTAGAAAGTGCCATATTCCAAGATGATAATTCACCTATACACACTGCAAAAAAAGTGAAGTCATGGTTTCATGAGTATCATAATGTAATTAAAAATCTTCTCTGGCCAACACAATCACCTGATCTCAACATAATTGAACAATTATGGGGACTTCTAGGGTGTGAGGAACAGATTTCCTTCCTTATCATCATTTTCTGAGATTTTGATTGAAGGATGGGATAAAATTCCACTGGAAAAAAATTCAAAACTTATTTGATTCCATTTCACATAGAATCAAAGCAGTTTTAGAAGTTAATGGACATCCAACACCTTATTAGTCAATAAATGAATGTTTAAGGCAGGTGTTCACATTATTTTGTCTAACCCCTGCATATATATATATATATATATATATATATATATATATATATATATATATATATGTGTGTGTGTGTGTGTGTGTGTGTGTGTGTGTGTATATGTGAAAAAAAATATAGTTGTAATGTATAGTATATTTATGGTAAGATTGTTCTAATAAAGTGATAGTGTATGTAATATAAAAGTGGACACTGAGGTGAACATCAAATGGCAACAGTCTGTTTCATGGTCTGAAGATGACGTTTAAGCATGAAACAAACTGTCACTGCTTCATGCTGACCTCAGTGTTCAATTATATATATATATACTGAAACCTCCTGACAAAGCTATGTAGTTGGGAGGCTAAGCATAACAGCAATCATCCATGTGATAATTTTTATATTTATATTAATCATATATATGTGTGTGTGTGTGTGTGCCTATATGTGTGTGTATATATATGTGTGTATATATAGGTATATATATATATATATATATATATATATATATATATATATATATATACACATATACACATATATATGTGTTTGTGTGTGTGAATGTGTGTGTATATATATATATATATATATATATATATATATATAGAGAGAGAGAGAGAGACAGAGAGAGAGAGAGAGATGGTGAGAAAATTAAGTTTTATAATCAAAGTTATTACAATTCAAATTGAAATAGCATTTTATAACCCCCCTTCTGTATGTCTCATCTGATTATTTCAGGATTAGGATTCAAGGTTGTAATTCCCTTTATTTCGATATATGACTGATGAGGCAGATTTTTTTCCATAGTAGGTTAAGAATACCAATCTGGTCCTTTGCTTAAATTCATAGTATCTATAGAGGAAAGTTCATTTCTCCAAATTAAGGGTAAGTATTAAGAAACATTAAAATTTTGTTAGAAACAAAGAAAAGATTACCAAACTCTTACGTAATATCAGTCCTCCTATATAGCAGTAAATACTGAACAATCTACTCACAGATGAAAAAGAAACTTGAATCAACAAAAATGTGGTTCTACAGAAGGATGCTGAGAATACCATGGACCAAACATGTGAGCAACAACAATGTTTTAGAGAAAATGGAAACAAAAAGGACACTTAAAGTTAATATCAGGATGACACAGTTGAAATTTCTTGGATACATAATGAGGAAAGAGGGCTTGAAAAATTTCGGTATTCATTGAAGGCAAGAGGAAGAGAGGGAAAAAATGCATAACCTACCTGGCAAGATGATGGAACAGGGTTTGAAAGAGATGGGAAAATGACAAAATTTATTGAGATCTCTAGTGGACAGGAAATTGTGGAGAGTGCCAATGTCCTGAATGACACAGCACATAGAAGATGAATAAATATGCACACACACACACACACACACACACACACACACACACACACACACACACACACACACACACACACATACACACATATATGAAAAATCATTGCATATTAATTGTTCATCACTATCCAATGATTTTTTACCATATTTCCCATGGTGATTGTTGCATTTGAAGAGGTGTTGGTGATCATTTAAGTATCGCAGAAATCATATAAAAATCACAGAGATTATTTTCTAATAACTACTCTTAAATTTAATAAGTGAGTCTGGAAAGGAATTATGATTGCTTTCCATAAACTCAGTAAGAAAGAAGGACTGAATTATTAAAGGAATTAATTTTTAAAATACCTTAGTTTTGATTAAAGCTCATGTTGTAACATAAAATGAATATTATGTTGTATAAAGATTTTTGAAAGAGCACTATTTGTACTATTGTGGGCCACTATAGCAGTCTGTGACCAGGACACATGTGTTATGAAATTCTACTGAGACACTCGGAAAGTATTGTGTAGTATTTGTCATCTTTAATGATTGACTTTACCAAACAAAACAGACATAATTCCTGCCTTGGATGTCACTTGCTGCTATGTAAAATGTTTGAACACCTCCTTGTCTGACTTGTTATTCTTTCTGCTTCTCTCTATCTTCTTAATTTGATCTGCCTCTCTATCTTGTTAATTTGATCTATCTATCTGTAATTAATTTATCTTAATTTGACCTATTTATCTCATTCTTTTCATATCTATCACAATCTGTCAATTCAATCTATCTATCTAGCTAGCTAGCTAGATAGCTATCTCAATCAGTTCATTATCTATCTATCTATCTATCTATCTATCTATCTATCTATCTATCTATCTATCTCAATCAGTTCATTATCTATCTATCTATCTATCTCAATCAGTTCATTATCTATCTATCTATCTATCTATCTATCTATCTAATTCTGTTACTATCTATCTATCTATCTATCTATCTATCTCAATCTGTTCATTATCTATCTATCTATCTATCTATCTATCTCAATCAGTTCATTATCTATCTATCTATCTATCTATCTATCTATCTATCTCATCAGTTCATTATCTATCTATCTATCTATCTATCTAATTCTGTTATTATCTATCTATCTATCTATCTATCTCAATCTGTTATTATCTATCTATCTATCTATCTATCTAATCTGTTATCTATCTATCTATCTATCTATCTCAATCTATTCATTATCTATCTATCTATCTATCAGTTCATTCTATCTATCTATCTATCTATCTATCTATCTATCTATCTCAATCAGTTCATTATCTATCTATCTATCTATCTCAATCAGTTCATTATCTATCTATCTATCTATCTATCTATCTATCTATCTATCTATCTATCTATCTATCTAAGTTCATTATCTATCTATCTATCTATCTATCTATATTTCAACTTTCTATCTATCTAGTTAAATTTGCTTAGTCATTCTTCTTGGTCCCCTTTTTTTAGCCAGTTTTTCCAGGAAATTTTAACCAGAGGGGAGCAACAACCCCCATTTCACTAAAAGAGGACAGTTATTAATTGCTCTTTGTGATATAGGTTGTAATGACTAGGCAATCTTTTATCTTTCTTTAATCTTTACCTACGTGTACACATACAGGGGCCCACATCGAACTGATTCTTATTTATCTGTCTATTTATCTATTATTTTCAGTCTATTTTCATACTAGTCTTTCTCAATTACATTCTGTTTCATCTCTCTCTCCCCCTCTTTTTTTTTTTGATACCCCTCTTTTCTTTCTCTATTTCAGTCTCTCTTTTCTTCTTAAATCAAGTTTGGATGTAATAGGTATAAAAGAAGAGGAGGGTTTTTCGTGAACAATACGACTACTACCACTATTATTTACACTTTATCTATCATTATCTATCGTTGTAACTGTAATGTAAAGTTTGCCATTTGTATGATACATGCATTTCTTAAATGCTTGAAGTAATTTTCATTAGACTTAGGCATGGCATAAGGTCTTGGGACCTACCTCATTCACTGATAATTTATAAAAAATTTATTTGTGCATATATTTATTTGTTTGTTGTTCAGGAAGATTTTAATCCAGCAAATTGAGAATATATATAATTGTCATAAAGTTGAAACTGGCCTTAAAAAAAATTGAAAAGGAATTTACTCAATCACCTTTAATAATTACCACAAATAATACATAGGTGAAACCTCAAGGAATCCAAATAAAAGATTATATAATCACAAAAGGAACCTTTTACAAAACAATATGCCCAGTACATTAGTTACTCACTGTAATCAGTTTGACCATAATTTTGGTTTTAAAAATGTTACTTTAATTAAAAGGGGAAGCAATTTACTAAGACAGAAGTGTATAGAAAGTGCTTTAATTACTAAATCATCCACAGTAAATTTGCATCTAGGTTTTTACAACATTTCGCCTTTCTTGTCTGATTTTGTATTATCACAATGTGGGATACTTAATAACAAATGTGATAAAAACATAAACAAAAGAAAAATAAATTAAATCAGATAGACTCTCTCTCACTCTTTCTCTCTCTCTTTATATATATATATATATATATATATATATAACCAAATGAGAGAAAGAACAGATGGCATAAAAATCCACAGCTTGTAACATTTATTTTTTAAAAAGTGCTCAATACAAAGTAGAGCAAAATATTATTATAATATTTTTATTATAATAAATTACAATAAAAACATTTTACATTGCTACCCAAAAACTTTCATGTTTCAGTATTAAGATGGTACCTCATCAGGCGATGGTAGGTAACTCATGATAAAAATGATCTATTAGGGAAATTTAAAAACAAATCTTTACTTCTAATCATAAGTTAAAGTCGGGGGGGGTGCATAAGGTCAGAATTTTTGGTACTACCTATATAAAATGTTTTATCTGTTGGATTTTCTCTAGATGAAATAGTACTTAGTTAAACAACTGAATCAGTTAGACATCTATTTTGTAGTAGACAGTTATTAGGATTTATACAATTACAATTATTCTGACCTCATTCATATATATATATATATATATATATATATATATATATATATATATATATTCAGTTTTAACATCATCTCTTCTTCATTTGCATATGTAATCACACCAATGCAAACAACACTGATGAAATATTATAGCTGAAAATTTTTTCCCCTTTGTCATAGATTTTCTTAAAATTGAAACTATATTTTGAAGAAAGTTTGCTAAAACAATCCCTGAAACCCACCCATTATTCTTAAAAAAAAATTTTAAGTTTAAAATCCATAATAATAGGGTGGATCCAAAGTATTTTCATTTTGTTACCCTCTCAAGAATTCCCGCATATTTTCAAAACTTATGTATGTATTTTTATCTTTCTATGATACATCTGCTCTGAAAAGTTTTTGGTGCTTGTAGTCAGATTCTTGTGTTTTAAAGAAAGTCATCAACAACTAATGGTTGTCCTAATCTGGGCTTTATTTCTAGGAACATGTTTGCACCCTTAAAATACTTGTAAAATTTTCAGGCTGAGGTAATATAGTATATAATTGTTGTTTTCTTTCATTTCCTGAATTCTGCAAGTAGATTCTGTGACTTTATGACTTAAAATAATTTCTCTCCTCTTTCTTTTCTGCCATTATTGGGAAAAAACAACATCTAAATAATGATACAATATATATTACAATAATATAGCAAAGTCATAGTGAGTCTTTAGATCTATATATGAGAATATATGAGAAAATAATATATATACATTTTTATATATCCACAATTTTAGGAAAATCTATAACAAAGTGGAAAAAGCTTTTCGTGTTCCACATTTTGTCCTTTAGGATTTTATCAGACTAAAGTGATGTTTATGTTGATCTGATTAACATCTACATAAAGGAGAGGGGACACTGAAATTTTAAATTTAAATTTAATTTTTTTTAGATTTAATTTTAAACTTTTCCATTTAAATTTAAATTAAAAACAGTTTTAAATTTAATTTTAAATTTAAATTGAATTTTTTTTCATTTAAATTTGTTTTTACATTTAAATTTGAAATTTCAGCATCCACCCTCCCTCAGATGCATGTTTAATGACATCAACACAAACATCACTTTAGTCTAAAAGGACAAAATTCATCACATGAAAAACTTTGCCAGAGATTTTCCTAAAGTTGATAACCTATATACTGTATATACTCATGTATCATGTGACCTTTGAAAATCTAATTTTGAGGCTAATTTGACAACTGGAAATGGATACAGAAGCATGGTGGAGTAGTGGATAGTGGCTTGGATTAAGGAATCAGTGATCCAAGTTCGAATTCCAGTCAAATCCATTACTTTCACTTACTTGCTAATATCTTTGGGAAAGGTATTAATATTCTTCCAGCTATGGGTAAATAGCAGGACAGACTGGGTTCTATAGCCTTGGATAGCAACTGGTCTAGAAGAAGGACAACTCTGAATTCAAAACCTGCAGAGGTTTGTTTGGGGATATTGTGACATGTAGTGCACCAGGTCTCTGTATCTGGCCGTTCAAAAAATGTGGTTGGTTCTGCACAAAACCTTCACCACTATAATTAAATCATATGTGCTGGTGTCTGGCTGTTGGTTTGTAGGAACTGATTTGCTTGACCCTCATACATCAAATACAACAGGAGTGTCCATCAGATGGACATATAGTTGGTCAATGTCATAACTAGGGCTAATAGTACATACAGTAATTTTATATCTCGCATATGATGTGACCCCCTGCTAAAATTAGCTTCAAAGATAGGTCTTCAAAAGTTACATGATATGCAAGTATATACAGTATATACATACATAATATATATAACAATAATATAGTGACATTTCAGAGTCTTTAGATGTGTATGTGATAAGATATGTATAATATGTATATTGTAATAATATACTGGACTCATAGTGAATCTTTAGATGTGTAGCCGACATTAAAAACTTTTCACGAGAAAACACATGCACTGAAAACCCTGTCAGCAGCAACCCTTTTCCAGCTTTTGGGCACATGTAAAAAAAAACCCTGGGGACATGCATAGTATGAATCCCAAGAGACTAGCTCTCTTTCACTTCATGCTGAGATCAAGGTAGGACGAGTAATGTAATTCATCCAAGCACTTTCCATGGAAGTAATGACAGAAGATTGAGAGACTCACCACATTCTGTCTGTGAGAGACAGTTTGGAGGGTGAAAAATAATTCTTCTTCAACAAGGAGTATAGGGTAACACACAAAAATGAAGATGAGTGGGATACATAGAAGGAAGAAATTTTAAAGCAGTGCAATCGGCACTGTGAATAGAAATCATCAATTTTTTGTACGATTTTTTTATATTACTATAGATTAAACATGCTAGGTCATGAATATCAAAATGCAGGATGCGATGGGTAAATTGTCACCATTTAATATTTTAATTTTGCATATGCATATTTTTAATTTCGTGCCTACATCAAGTGCCTTGAAGAGGGAGTGCTGCCCTGGGTCAAGAGGGTGACTGCTGGAAGACCCTATGTCTGGCAACAGAACTCTGAACCATGCCACACAAGCAGGAGAACCCAGTCATGACAGTCAGACAATTTTTGTGACCCCATCACCCCTTACATCTGGCCACCTAACTCCCCAGACTGCAACCCCCTTGAATATTATGTGTGGAATGCAACTGAGTGAGAGACCAACAAAACTCTGTATAACACCAAAGATGAACTGAAAGCAAGGATTAAGTCATCTAGAGGCCACGGTTGAAGTCAATGGCAATTTTATTGAATCTTTTATTTTTAGTATTTCATGATATTTTTGTGTAATTTTGGTAAATATTTTTTTTTTTTTTTAAGCATTACGCCCTGAGCAAGGCGTGAAGCCACTAGGATGCAGGGGGTTGCAGAAGATTTGGAGCGAGAGCAGATAGGAGAGATAGAAGAAAGGATGAGGAGAAGGATAGTGGGTAGATCAAGGTAACTGGAGATGTCAATTGACATTACATTTGAATAGTCGGAGATTATAGCTCTCAGGGAAACAGTAATAGGGAAGGGCATTCCACAGGCAAGAGGTGTGAGGTATGAAGCTATTGGAGTAAAAGAGATGGCTACATTTAAAAGTTTCTACAGTGAAACGGTGAGAGTGGGATGCCAGCCTCGTAGGGCGCTTGAATTCATGAAGTCTGGGAACCAGTGAAAGCAGCTCAACAGAGCAATTACCATGAAAGTATTTGTAAAAAAGACAGAGAGAGGTGATGGCGTGTCTGTGAGAGAGCAACTGTAGACAAGATGCCAGATCAGGACCAATTATATTATATATCCGCCTCTGGATCTTGTCAAGAACTCTGAGGTAAATAGAAGGTGCACCAGACCATATATGGCAGCAATACTCCATGCAAGGGTGAATGGTTGATTTTCATTTTTGCATAATTTAGACAACAATTTATCCATTGCACCCTGTAATTCACATTCCTTTCCAATCTTTTGAACAGGAGTACAGATTTATCCCTTGTTTCCTGTTCAGGACTGGGTTTCCAATTCATTCCAAAGTCTACTTTAACTTGACTTCTTCAAGTCTTACCTGCATAGCCCTAAGAAATTCACTTTTTGCCCTTTCTTACACTAATACAACTCCACACAGTAATCCTCTACCTTGAGTGGCACTTGGACCTCGTATTGGGTGAACATAAGTAAAAAAAAAAAAAAATTTAATTAAATTTTATTAAAAGGGGCCAGTTTACTATGTAAATTCATTGTAAGTGGATCCCTCTATAGAAGCTGAAACAATATCAGTTCATATTGTGTCGATTTTTAAAAAATTTTAAAAAATAGAATTTTGTTAAAATCCTCAAGGTATTTAGTATTGTTGAAGTTATT